TGCCATCTAAAACATGCAGTAGTCCTTTCATTAAGTTTTTAAAAATCTTGTATATCAGTTACAATATTTTATCTTTGCTTCCTTTGTGTAGCCAGTATGAATGCCTTCTCATGTGAGAAAAAATTGATGCACTCTGTTTTAACGGTATGTCCACATSTTAAACAGTTCATGTAATTGAGTTGCACTATTTCATGTTCCTTAAGTTTTTATTTTGATAGCAGTATTTATAAAGTTTAACTTTTTAAAATACTTGATTGCTTCTTTATGGGTAAATATATTCCTACGTAGAATCAGTTGATGGTTTTTCCCCCTGCCATGAGAACTTTCTCTTACATACKCCTAGGTAGGTGGTGTTTTCCTAATTATCTTTCTTTTTTCTTCTTTATTTTAATCTGAGTTTACACTGACCAATAACTCAGTGGCTATAATGAATATTCTGAACTAGTAGTGCATAGTAATTGAGTTTATCAATGTAGTATACTGCTAGGGTATAAAACTCTTGTGTGCCATTTTGCTTCTATCCTTTCTTCTAATCATAAAGTTCTGGAATACAGAATATGCTTCAGAGAAAATTATTGTGTCTATGTGACTAATAGATTCAAAATTGTAATATATTGTTACTCTTTATAATAAAGTCATTATTAGATACCTTATGCTTGCTTATTCTGCTTATCATTTTCCAAGGCCATGTCAACCTCTGTTACATACTTTAATGATTTRTGTTTATGAATAGGTTTGTGATTCCTGGATAAAAGTGCTATTCAGATTTAAAGACTACTATTTTATTTCCCATATTACATTAGCATTGATCAGGTCATTATGAGGCTAAGGCAAGCAGAAGGCATTCTGTCTTATTTATTTGTGTAAAATGATGGGATAAAAGTAATATTTATCCCATTGTGTCTTAATATTGATATTTTCAGTAACCTTTTCTTAGGTTTTCTTTTTTTTTTTTTTTTTTAGCTCAAATTTTGTTTTGCCTTCTTTTCTTTCTTTTTTAGTCATGAAGCTTGAGGTGAAGTTGCATGGGTAAATGGCATATTCTTTTGTAGTCCTGAAAAATTTTCCTCTATTTTTAAAATTTTGCTATTGTTTGTAAGTTTGTTCAACAGGATACTAGAATGCACTTGTCCCTACTGAAAACAAGTCAGGTTTCAGGGTAATACGTCAGATATTACTAATTTGAAACAACTATTAAAATACTCATATTGGAAATTACAAATCTAACCTRTCATGTTGGGGGAAAAATCATTGTCATCAGAGATAATGTCTGCTTTTTCTCTTAATTATCTTTTTAAAATACTTAAGTACATCTACCCAGAATACACATCTCCACAAAGATACTGCATTTTGCCCTTTTTGTATATTTCCTTATTGATTATATTCTTAAGACTTTAGTTAAAATAGCATCCTCCATATTCCCCCCCCCCAATTTCAACCTTTAAAAATGTAGCACCATTTAGGCTTTTTAGTAAAAATTGCCTTACATTTCTTTTCTTGTTTTGGGTGCTRTGTCTTGAGTTTGATTATCACATGTTCTTTTGCTCAAGGCTTCTGTTTATATGTGCCAAGATTCACGGTTGCCTTCCTCGATTTTGACTAACCTTTCCGGTTTGTGGGTGAAACTTGGGTGCTATTAGAGTGATATATTTTCATTGTGTTTCTCCTGAAGTTATCCTCCCCCAGGAGGCCATAATTTCCTATACTTTATCTTCTACTTTACCTTCTGCTTTTCTTAGATTTCTAGTGTAAACAGTGTGTCTAAGAGTGTATTGGTAGCTTTAAAGAGCCTAATTTGCATATTTCCCTCTTATCTCAGTACTTGTGCTAACTTGTTGCTTTTTTATGTGTAACAAAATGTTTATCTGACTGATTTTTGTCTTTTCCCTACCAGTGTATTCTACAAAATAATTCTTATAACTTTTTGTTCTTGTTTAGTGATTAAGGGCACTAAATCTTGTTTAATAACCTCAGGGTGCTAAAATGGTGGTACGAAAACCTAAAGGCTAAATGACGCATATCTATTTTGGGTGAGATTGTAATGTTCTTCATGTTTATATGAGCTATATTTATCTAAAGTTCATACTTAAGTGATAATAACCATTGATTTGAGGACTTTACCCTAGATTACAGAAAAAAAATATATTTATTGCTACAACAGATGTATTTACCAATCCTAACTTTCCTGTCTCTCGCCCTGTGTAAATTATTTTAAGAATGATGACATCTTTTCCTTTGTAATAACAAGTCTCTTTCAAGTGACCCAAATTTTAACTCCACCACTATGGGCCTCATATTTCTTCCTCCAAAGTGTTCCGTGACTCTGACTTGTACAGAAAGCTCTTAGTCGGTTGCTTTTAATGTTGACTCTTTATAGTTTAGGGACCACCCTCCTTTGAGAATAAATATTTGGGAGAGCGTTTCTAGGTTCCTGGCCTTTATTGCTCTGCAAATGTTTCTGCAACCTCTGCGCTTTTTCCTGGGAGATCTACCTCCCGACTGTCCCCTTCAGCCACTTCCTGAAGTCTTACCACCTCAGTCCTCAGCGCCTGTCACCTGCAAGACTCGGTCCCTTTCCCGCGGGGCCAGTGCGTCCTTCCGCGCCCCCGCCCCCCGGGCGCCCGCCCGTCCCTCGGGTGCCCGCCTGCGACGCCCCCGGCGTATTCCTTTTTGTGGCTTTTGTGGCGTGAGAGTGGGTGGTTAGTTTTCCCCCCGGGCCCTCGCCCCCTCCTCCCCGTCACTTTCATTCCCCCCCGCCCCCGAGCCAGTCCTGCCCCTCCTCCTCCTCCCCGCTCCCACTCGCACACCTGCCCTCGTCGCCCGCGCGCCGCGCGCTCCCCTCCCCGCTCCGGCGGCCGCTGCCAGGGAAGCCCCCTCTCCTCCTCCCCTCCGCGCTCTCCCTGGCGCGCCTGGCGGCGGCCAGCACTAACCCTCGCGCAGCGCCCTGTTATTCTGGGTATTGTGTGTAATAAATGTCGGGCCGCCTCACTCTAATCAAGCTCATTACAAATTCTTGCGCGCCCGGGGCCGGAAATCGTGCGCTCCCCCCCACCCCCAGCTCCGCACTCATTCACTAGTTACTTGTCTTGAGGCTTTTTAACTCGCCGCCCCCGCCCCCTCCCCCAATCCCGGCCCTCCAGCCCGGGTTTTAATCCCCATCCCTTTTCCGCCTTCTCCGTGCACCCTGCCCCCCCGCCGCCTTCCTCCTCCGCTGCGCACCCCCTTCCTCCTCTTCTCCCTCCCCCCGCCGCCGCCGCCGCCGCCGCCACCACTTTCTCGCTCGCTCCCGCTCCCCGGACGCGGCGGATGAGCCGGCCCCGCTGGGGAAGGCTCCGGGCGGCGGCGGGCGGCCGGGAGGAGGCTGCGTGCTCGGGGCTGGGGCTGCGAGCGGGGTGATTTTGTATTAAAATGAGGAGGAGGAAGAAGAGGCAGCCACAGCGGCGGCGGCGGCGGCAGCAGCAGCAGCAGCAGCAGCAGGAGCAGCGGCGTAGAGGGCTGCAGCCCGGGCGGACGCGCGGAGCCGAGCTGGGCACGGCGGCGGCGGCGACAGCGGCCGGGATGAGTCAACTAATAATTTAATGGGGGCAGAGACGGCAGCGAGGGGGAGAGCGACCGAGGGAGAGAGAGAGAGAGAAACAGCCCCGTCCGGGGACTCGCGCTCACACGCACGCACACACAAACACACACACACACCTCTCCCAGTGCCACCCAGCAACAACCGGCCTCGTCACAACAACAACAGCAACAGCCGCCCTCTAGCCTGCCCGGGGGCCGTGCGTAAAAGCCTGGGCGACTCCAGAGGACGCTTCCCACCCCCCCTTTTGCATTTCGGGAAACTCCTGATCAGTTTTGTTGGGTTTCTGGGCTTCTTCCCCCCCCCCCAAGTCCTAGTGCCATTGTGGTGCTCGTTGTTTACCTCGGACTCTGGCTCGGAGTGAGAGCTTGGCGACTTTTTGGGGGGAGGGGGCGGGGAGTTCGTCGCTGCCGAGGCGGTAGAGGTGGCCGGGGTCCCTTCTGATCTTCCTCCTCCTCCTCCTCCTCCTCCCCC